GCCTGCAAGATTCCTTGTTCTTTGAGGGAGGACTAACCAGGGAGGGGGTAAGCTGTGCTGTCACAGCCCCACGGTGGTGGGCTCTGATTGTGGCACAGATGCTTGCACCTCTGTGAGTAGGAGAAGGGCAGCCAAAATCTCAAACCCGGGTTAGCAAATCGCCAAACGGTGGTCATCATCCTGATTTTTTTTTCTGAGAGGAATGCTCTAGAGGGGCAAGCCTGCGATGGCAGACATCTTTACCTGCTTCCCGTGGCCAAGAGTGTCCTGTATGCTACATACCTTTTGTGCTCCTTCACAAATTCAACCAGCTCCTCTTCCGAGTAAGGCTTATCAGGGATGTGAACAGGTTCATCCATAAATGGTTCATAGAAGTCCACCTCATTCATCTTCAGACCTAGCTTCTTGGCAACCTGTTGCAGTGCAGATCATCAGAGGTGAGCGAGCCTGATGTGCCTCTTTGTCTGCCCAAAGTCTCTCTCAGCGGCAGAGCTGAGGTCAAGATACTTACTCTCTCTCAGAGCATTCACTCCCAGAGGTGGCCAACAAACTATTAAAGGACCTTTCCTTGGTTAACAAACACAGAGATGCTTTCTGTGCTACTGATCTCAAGTGCTGGGGCAAAGCAAGGCCATAGCCAAGGTCCTGCAAACTCAGTGGCCTCAGTGGGGCTGGTTTCCAAACCCCGATCAGGCCCTGCCTCTACACAACAGAAATGGCCTTTTATCTTGTGACATGGCCAAATCCAAACATGGACATCAATACCACAAATTATAGCAATGCTGAAAATGAGAAGCTGGAGCCAGATATTAAACCTGGGAACAACCCAAGCTTCTGGAAAACAGGTGGTGGAGTCTGTGAATTTCCACGGAGGTCTGTGGATGCTTACCCCTTTGTCAAAGGTGGCAAAGAACTTGATGTATGGCTGGAAATGTTCAGCGGCTTCTTCAAATGCCTTGTAATCTGGAAAGAGGGAAGGGGAATGAGGAAAAGATTTCACAGGCGCTGACTACTTTCTGACCGGCACAGAAGGCACCAGGGAAGAACAAATATAAATTACTGCAAAATACATCGTATGACAGCACTACATTTCTTCCACCCTTCTGGGATTTACAAACAAGGACCATTTCATGTGGAGTGAACAAAACGCATGTTGTGCAGCCCAAGAGTGCTCAGGAAAACTATGGATCCCAGCATGTCACACTTAACTGGGGATGAGATTAGCAGCCCTGTGAAGAGGGTCCAGACCTAAAACTCCAGCCTGTTGATAAGGGTGTTTGTATCTGCCCTCTTGCACAAGCAGTAGTTCAGCCTGGGAAATACACGGAGTTGGTGCAGCATTAGTTATTGCTGCCATTTCCTAGTCAACAAGCATGATTTGGCTCCTGTTGCAGGAGGAGAGGGTAGGAATGAGGTACATTTTAACTGTTACTGACATCAGGTCCTCAGCTGGGGTCAGGAGGGATGCTCTCAGCCTGGCAGGAACTCTTTACAGCAGGTGTTTCCCGTCTTTCTTCAAAACACTTATTACTCAAAAGCATTAGGGACACAGCCCTGCCCAAGCTGCCCCACAGCCCATTTTGAGCAGGTGAGAAAGATGGGGACGGCAGTAGATGGGCTGCTGTAGGGCAGCAGGCCTGGTGATATGTTGCTCATTCACATAAGGATCCCTGTCTTTTTGCTAAAGGCAAGGCTGGCAAGCTTGGGGTTCTCATTGCCAGCACTGCCTGGAGAGCAGGGGGAGCTCTCAGGGCCAGCAAAAGAGGCTGCTGGGGCTTGCAAGGGGGAATCTCAGGTGAGGTTTTCTCAAGACTTATCAAAGCTGGTGGTTTTGCCTGGAATGGTCCCTGAGTTGCAGATCCCTCAGGGCATGGGACCAGCCTCTTCTCAGTCTTGGGGTTCAGCAAGGAGAAATAGGTCAGTGCCTCTGCCCTAAGGTGTCCTGCTGCTGTACGTTTGCCAAGTTCGTATTTTTTCCCTTTGCCTCCATCCCTCTTTCTCTGACCTTTTGGGCTCAGTGCTTGTAAGAGGTGGAGCTTTGCTCCTTTTAGGTGCTTACTCAGTGTAGCTGTAACCTCAGCCTACTTTGGATGGAGCAGACTTACTCTGCTTCAGGAGCCCTTGGGTTATTGCCCCCTTCTCTTACCAGCAGATACCTTGCAGGAGGGTCTCTATTGTTAGTGTAGGAATGGGCTCATGCATAGCAACAGCAGAAACTTGTCTGCAACTCCTCCTCATCCTCCAGCAACTTTGGCACTGTGGCAGCCTGCCATATATCCCTTAATGTTCATGCAGAAAAAACAATGCCATCCCCCAGCCAGTCTCCAAGCCTCATGAGGAACATATTCATCTTACGTTCAGAGTCTTCTCCTTTGAAGAAGCCGATGAGTTTGATTTCATCGTCGATTTGGTCAAAGGCCTGAAGCTCCAGCTTGCTGTTTATGATCTCCACAGGGTCTTCTAGCAGCTGTCATGACAAATGCATTTGCTAACACAACAATTTGCAGCACCAACCTAGGCCTGGCAGGGGGTGTTACTAGCAGCCCGAGCGGGGAGAAAGAGGTCACCCAATTCCTCTGCTGCTGGAAATCCTACTTAGTGCTCTCTGTCTTAATGTGAGGAACTGAGAAATGCAGGTCACCTTCAGAGGGAGCTGTTAGTAGGTTCTCTGCATAGGTTGAAGCATCAAGAAGGAAGATGAGAGAGGTCTGAATAACTCAAATGGATGCTGAGGGACTTACTGTGATGAGAGATATGGGGCAGCAACTGCAGCTGGCTTTAGTGAGGCTGAGTAGAAGGGAGAGAAGTTGAAAGGACCTGGTATGAGGACTGTGAACTTCTGTCAATGACGTGTCGTTTGCTAAAAGTGGTCATTGCAAAGAACTTGCTTTTGTTTCCAGACTAAAGCTAGCATGCTAGAAGGTGGCCAGAGAGTGTTCTGAAGCAGCAAAAAGGCTGGATGTGAATTTTCCTGTCTGATTGTCCTATGCAGAATTGGTTAAACCCATACTTTGGCCTCAGACACGTCACCATGTTGATGAGGAAGTTGGAAGGTCTATCAGCTGCTTCAGCCTGTTGTTGATCCAGACTTTGTCTCTGTTTTCTTAACTAGCCATTGCTTGGTGAAGAGACTTGGCCTGATTATTTTACTCAGCAATACTGGTGTAAATCAAGTGTGGTTTCACTAGGTAAAAAAAAAAAAAATGCAAGCAGGCCACTCTATAGCCTACAGAACCTTTGGGTCTTCTAGAAGATTAGGCTGCCAAGGCACTACAAATGTGTTTGTTTTTATTCCCTTGCATTGCTGGGTGTTTTTCCTCTTGAACGAGGTGAAACACAAGCAGAGATCCCTGTTCTCTTCCTTTGTTCACTGAACCGATTTCTCAGTGGCACACCACAAAGCACAGCAAGCAAGACCTCACAGGGTGCCGTACGCTGCACCCCTTGGGAGTGGTGGTGCTCTGGCATGAGGCTGTGTCCCCAGAAGCCTGGGCAGCTCCCTGCTGCCACAGTGGCCTGAGCTGTGGGATCCAGGGATCCCACCACTGCTGGGGTCACAGCAAAGCTGTCCCCTGTCCATGGCCCTCCTGGGTTGGGCGGGTGCCCATTTCTGTCCCTTAAGCTGCTTGCACGTGTTTTTGCCACAGCACCTGATGCACGCAGCCACAAACATTGCCATAGGAGACCTAAGGTCCTGGGAAGCTGTTTTTCTTCTCTGGCCATGCCTCTCCCCACAAGCACTCCTGTACCGCAGGTGACCATTTAGGCAACCTGCCACCCTGTGAAACATGCCCTGCCAGCTCCACTGCTCACCTTACCTCCCTCATCTGTATCATTGCAGGGATGCACGTAAAAGGGAACCTCATTTCAAAGGAAAGCCAAGCTGCTGCAAAATGTTTCCACTACACAGTAAAGATCATGTTTTTGGGCTGTTGCCTCTCCTAGGAATGAAGTGTAAAGAAAGGAATAAAGTGTAAAGAAAGAGAAGTGCAGCTCGTTGATGAAGGAGTCAGCACCTCTTTTGTATTTAGGCATGAAAGTGAGTATGTAGCTGTGCCCATGCACAAAATGACCAGAGTGCACTAAGTCCTGGCAGTGCAGTTCCGTAAATTCACTGAAGAGGCAGTAGTACACAACGTTGTTTTTGTGGTTGTGTTTAGAAGTGGGCATACAGTTTGCAGAATATATCTTTTTCAATTAATTGAGCTCTTTTTAGTTTCTCTGTGAGAGTGCTACTTGTTAGATTTTAAGTCTTTTTCCTTTTTTAAAAAGAGTGAAATATTCTGCAAATGGCAAAGTGTTTACACACCAGATCACAGAATCACAGAATTATTGAGGCTGCAAAAGACCTCTGAGATCATCAAGTCCAGCCTATGACCCAACACCATCACATCAGCCAGACCACGGCACTAAGTGCCACATCCAGCCTCTCCTTAAACACCTCCAGGGACGGTGACTCCACCACTTCCCTGGGCAGTGCATCCCAGTGCCTGAGCACCCTCTCCGTGAGGAAGTGCTGCCTGAGATCCAACCTAAACCTCCCCTGACACAGTTTCAGGCTGTGCCCTCTCGTCCTGTCACTGGTTGCCCAGGAGAAGAGCCTGACCCCCGCCTCACTGCACCCTCCCTTCAGGCAGTTGTAGAGAGTGATAAGGTCCCCCCTGAGTCTCCTCTTCTCCAGGCTAAACACCTCCAGCTCCCTCAGCTTCTCCTCATAAGACTAAGATTGCTAACTAGTGAGTAGTAGTTAATTATGTGGAATTGTTGCTTGCTTCCAGTCAAATACTCCATAAACAGGAAAAGGAGCAGAACGTCTTTAAAATAGAAGTGGTTGGTGGTGTATAAAGGTACCAGCTTTCCTGGGAACTCATAGTCAGACAAGTGTTTGGGAAGCTGGCAAATGTCATCTCTGCCAGTGTGCAGCAAGCAGGGACAGAATTTCAAATAAGGATAGACCCATGTTTTTTAGCAAAGAGACTACTTGCAAGGTCTTTTCCGAGAGGCTTTATCTAGCTCTGAGCTTATCTGTGCTTACATCCAAGAGGAATTCCACCAAGACATCCGTGGCCAGTTCACCATCAAATTCAATCAACCGCTCGTCCTTAAAGACATAGAGACTTCCCTCTTCAACCAAGCCTAAAAGAAGGAGACAGGAAGCATGATGTCATTAACATGTCACTAAAAACATTTCCGCTACAGAGTATCTCACCTATTATTCTGGCACTGCCTCCTGGGAAAATGCAACTGCCAGTTCACTGTGCTGGTCCAGTTAGAAACAACCTGAGCAATCTCCTAACTGGTGTTTCATGGCACGAGAGACAGACCTTACCCAGAAGTTGTGCTAGCTTCCTCCTAAATGTTGAACTTTTTGGTCAGGTCACAGTTTGGCCTCAGCTGGAAAAATTCTGTACCAGGAACATGCTTTAGCTTGGCTATCTATCTTGCAGTAAATAATACTAGGCTTTAACTGACATCCCACATTTTAACAACCTGTCACTGAATGGAAAATGAATTTTGATACGGGTTGTGCTCTCTGCCCAGAGAAGGCTGACCTGTGTAATCATAGTGACCTGAAAGCCGAAACGAGCTTCAAACTCTCTGAGGCTTGGCAAAAGGGTTAGAAACCTATGGTAGAGATGCTGCAGATGTCAGGCTGGCAGATTTGAGTGGTAGATCACTGGATTGAGAACTGGGTACAACAACATCTTGGTGGAGGCTCCAAAATCAGCAGCACTGAACTTCAGCAATGCATGATGGCAGGGTACAACCCGCCAAGGTGACTGGTATTTTTTTCCTTCTTAGAGAGGCAGAAGCTCTCAGCTTTAGTTTAGCTTCCACCAGCACACATAGCCTCTTATTTAGGAAAGAAAATTACAGTTCAATATGCTTAAACAGACTCTGGCCTTAATCCTAGTGTCATATTTGTGTGCTGTTGTATTTATGTGCTGTAGTATTTCCATATTGCTTTGTGGGCTAAAATAGGAAGGGATCACCAGCCTCTGGAAGGTATTTGTTTCCCGGGGTGGGCAATGCAGCAGCCTTTCACCTTTACAGTAGGTTTCCACTTCTGCTCTGGACAGCAAGACAGAAGGTTTGGCACCTGGCTGCCAAACCATTGCAAGGCTGTGACTACCCCATTAATGGCTGGGGGTCCCCTTGTCATGGGGGCCTATGTGATTTCCCTGTAGGTTTTGGTTCTGTACTGCTGTGTCTGACCTGTCTCTGTACAGGAAGAGCATGGAGTTTTTCCATGATGCCTATTTACACCTGCTCAACAAGCTGTGTGAGGTTCCACCCTGTCACTGCTATGGCATGTATTGGCTTTCTTTTTCACTTGGTTTTGTTTTGTTTTGGCACTCTCAGATGGGAAGCTTTTTGCTGGAAGGGTCTCAGCTCTTCACTCTCATCCTCACCCCCTCCCACTCAGGTGATTCTGCCCATGTTGGGGTGAGCAGGTGATCAGTGTGCCGTTGCCACCACCACCCTTCCCATCCTGCTGACAAGAATTTGTCTGTCCTCTACAGGGCTGGCTGTTGGGCATCACCCCCGCAGTCTCTCTAAGCTATTCCAGAGATATCAGACATGGGACTCACCTAACTTTTTGGCAAGTTTGGCATCCTTCTTGGAGTCCACCATCCCGAAGCCAATACTCCTGGGCTCCAAGACCTGAGCCGCCAGCTGTGAGAGGAACCAGAGAGCCCAAGGTTAGCAGGATTAACACCACAGGGTAGCTAAGGGGTACCATGCCCTGCTAGCATGGCAAAAGAGACACAAGTGACCCACACTCTGCTTTCAGACAGCACCAATGGTTGGGATGCATCACATGCTGCCTCACCACGGTGATAACGCTGCCCAGAGGTCACAAGGGTTGGGTTTCTTCCCACTGTGTCATAGCACTGAGTTTGCTGGTGATACCATGTGCTGTTAACTGCTGTTTGACACTCGGGCATTGGGACAGAGCTCCCGACCGAACTGGGGACACCAAAGGCAGTGGACATGGCTGGGAGAAAGCTGTCTGCTTGGTTGTGCCTCAGCGGCTTCCTTTGAGGAAGCAGGAAGTGTGGGTGCTATGGACGTTTTAACTCTGCAGGTGCCTGGTGCCAGGCAGCAGTGGCTGCAAACTGGAGGGGGCACAGGACACTGCACCATCACATTTCCTTCATACATGTGACAGGGTGGCCAAAGCAGCATCCCAGCAAAATGAAGCAGCAAAAGCAGTCCTTTCTCCTGTGAAATGCTTTAAGTCATGTCTCGTGCCCAGGCTTTGGTCACCCCCCAGTTCCTGGTCCCCTCTTTTTTCTAAAGAAACGAGTCTAAGCCCATCTGTTCTTGTGTTTGTCTCCTCACAGCTTCACAAAACCACTGCCCCCTGTTCCCACCATTTTTGACCAAGGGGCCTCTTGAAGATATCGAGTTCCTGCCTGTTTTGTGAAAATAGATATGTGAGGAAAGGAGAGACGTTCTACAAGTGCCCCGTAATGGGAGCAGCGCCGGGTGAGACCCTGTGAATTCCAGAGGGGCTCCATAGAGATGAAGTGACCCTGGGAAATGAGCCCCCTTACTCACCACATGACTGACCTAGCCCCACCACAAGCATGTCAGAGACCGTACAAGGCAGTAATGATGCTCTAGGACCATCAAGCAGCTGTAAGAGCTCCCTCCTCTTCCCTCTCCCTTCTTGCTGCACGAATGCCTCTGTTGATGAAGATCTTGTTGTTCCCCCCTCCCAACTCTGCTAGATGGCAAGGGGATGATGGGGATGAGGGGTTGGGGGCCTCCCGGCTAGGAATGTCCCTATTAAGACACAGCTGCCTGCACTCAGCAGCGGGAGGTTGGAGGGGGCAGAAGAAAAGCTGTGGCCAGAGAGATGGTAGGGAGATTTATGATGAATACCCTCCCCCAGGACCTATTTTGGCACCCTCCTCCCCCAGCCCCAAAGATGGTTTGAATGTCACCCAGTGGTGCTGCTCCCATGCTTCCCCCTTGGCTCCCCTGCTATAAATAGCCTCTGTCTGTGCCCAGCCTCTGCAAGGGCAAGCAGTGATTAAAGGCAAAAACCACAGGACAGGCCCCTCACCTGCACACCAGGGTGTCAAGGGGCTGGCCAGCTCCCCATGCTGGCAGCCCCAGTCCTTCCCCAAAATCCTGGGGGATAATGGCGGGGACCCTGGAGATCAGGGCTCAGGGATATTGCTTGGGCAAAGGGAAGAGATGGAGAATGTGATTGCTTTCTCCCTTCCCACCAAATACACGCCCCTAGGTCTTTCCTGAAGACTTCCTTCTGGACATATTCTCCACCAGCCAACACAGCATCATTGCAATCTTGATCTCCCTGTGGCTACCTGGCCTTATGTCTATAGGAGGAACCCCCACCATGCAAGGCAAAAGGGGTGCTCCTATTCTAAAGGAAAGAGGTGATCTCACTGTTCTTTTGCTCTCTGTCAGTACTTTGAAATAAGGGTGAGACTGTCTATGCTTACAACGGGTACTGCCTGAACAGGGCAGAGCAGTGGGCTGTGTTTGTATATCCATTGATAAGTCATCTGAATGCTTTTCTGACCAGTCTGGCATCCCATCTCCTGGCTCAGGCCATGACTGTCCACGTTAGCACACCTGAGAGCAGCTGTTACCCAGTAATGAAGGGAGAGATGGACACTTCTTGTGAGCGCCCTAGACATCTCCAAGCCTGCGGTAGTGAGAGAAGTTGTTTTCTGTTCCCCATTATGAGGATCTGTCTTTACTGGACAAAGGGATGGAGCCTATAGGATCATCAGCTTTAGGCGATGATCCTGCCATCAAGCAGGGACATTGTAAGCATCTCCCTACTTGTTGGCAGTTGTGTAGTCCAGCAAGAAGTTCTTCAGAGTCAACACTTGAGGCTCTACCTGAACTGTAACCAGAGGTAAAGCACAGAAACCCCAAGGGAAGAAAATCGTTCCATCATATCCAGTCCAGTCCACACCTGATCTATCTCCTTACTTACAGTTATGTTAGCCATGTGTCAGTCAAAATCAAGACAGTTAAAGTCCAATGGTTCTTGATTCCTGCACACTAGAGATGGTTAGGGTTTCTTCGGGGTGTTTGAAGAAATTCAGAAATGTGTAGAAAATATGCAACATGTGCTACAGACAAGTGGTTGAGGGCAAGCAAGAATGTTTGCAAGAGAGGACGCATTGCTCAGGAGTAATGCATGTCAGCACGCAGTGTATGCAAGGGAGCTTTTCGGAGGAGTGAGGGGACAGCTGTATAGCTGTGAGCATGGGAGCTTGCTGAGAAAGAGCAAACATGTCAAGAGAATGTGGGTGATGGGATGAATGCCGCTTTGTGTGAGGCTGTGGGAGTGTGCACTTCATTAGGGCTCAGGAGGCAAAAAACGTCACAGTAATGCTGGACGTGTGCCTGTTGGTGTGGCAGGGCTTGTGTGACTGTGTCTAGTGAGACTGCCTCTTGGAGGTATATGTACTGTGGTTACAAGTGTTTGGAGATGTTCTGAAGACACTCATCCTAAAGTCATAGAATAGTTTGAGCTGGAAGGGACTTTAAAGACCATCTAGTTCCAACCCCCTGCCATGGGCAGGGACACTCCCACTAGCCCAGGTTGCTCCAAGCCCCATCCAGCCTGGCCTTGAACACTGCCACAGAGGGGGCATCCACAGCTTCTCTGGGCAACCTGTGCCAGTGCCTCACTATCCTCATAGTGAAGAATTTCTTCCTACCATCCCATCTAAATCTACCCTCTTCCAGTCTGAAACCATTACTCCTCATCCTACCACTGCATTCTCTGATAAAGAGTCCCTGACTAGCTTTCCTGTAGGCACTGGAAGGCTGCTATAAGGTCTCCCCAGAGCCTTCTCTTTTCCAGGCTGAACAACCCCTGTCTGTCCTCACAGGGGAAGTGCTCCAGCCCTCTAATCATCTTTGTGGCCCTCCTCTGAACTCGGTCTCATCCCCAGACAAGATGTACAACAGCATGTGTGTATAGGAGAGCACGTGTGTACAGCGTGCTTGTGTGCCTGCGGGCACAGGGCTGAGAGCTAAGCAGCCTGCCTTCTTCGCTGGGGATTTCATGCCAATGAGATTGTGAGGTGAGTGGTACAGCCTGTACCCATCTGCAGAGCACTGGGGGCTTGCACCAGGGAAACTTTCATACAACGTGAGTCTCTCAGGAGCTCTTTCCACTGGGGCAGCACCTGGAGGCAGGAGACCTTTGCAAGGTGGCAGAACCTGTGGTGGCTTTTTAAAGTGTAAGTTACACAGAGGCTGGACACTGCTTGTACCCTTGCTTTCCCTGCTCTCTGCTGCAGGAGCTGAGTCTGTCCAGTGCTCAGGTGAGGATGTATTCCTACATCTATATTTGAACCCCATAAGGTAGTAAAATATAGATTATGCCAGAGGCTCAGCGGCTTGGCTAGTTGCCTCCTGCTCATTACAGTATCAAGCGTTTCTATATCCCCTTACAGTATTTTCTGATTCCATAATGCTAGTGGGATTTGAATGCAGATAATGTTTCTAATCTTGACAATCCTCTTGGCTCAGGACCTTGGGACAGAGGCAGCTGTAATGTAAGAACACATCCCATCCTCCTCCTACTCCTCCTCCCTTTAAATTCATATCGCTTGAAGTCTTGGCCAGCCAGAGCCCTTGCCTTTGTGTCAGCCTCTACAGCAAGTAATTTAGCTTCAACAGCTGCATGGTGAGATGGAGGGGAGAAACTGCCCTGGAAGAACTGGACCTAACTGGTCATGCAGTCCCTGAGGTACAGCGGGAGCTTTGGGCAGGCAGAGCTGGCTGAGTGTGTGAGCAAATATCCCAGTATCTTGTAAGCTCATATCTCATGCACATTTTGCAGCCTTCCTCTCATGTGCGTGAAGCCCTCATAGTGCATGCTTTCTAGCCACAGGATCTCAAGCTGTGTCCTGTGCAGCCTTGGGAAAAGGAGATGTGAATTTGGGAGCACTCCTCCTTTCTCCCACTTCCCTCAGGTAATACCCATTCCTGAATTTTGGTAAGTGTGGGCGAGTGCACGGCCTTCTGGGATGTATCAGAGGTGCCAGCCCAAAGTGAGGCTTAAGTACAACCTTATCTTGGATGGTGTCTACAGTTACAGGCAATCTGAATAGTGAGGATGGAAAGAAACAACTCCCTTTCAGAGCATCTCAGCTTCACACCTACTATACCCTACCTGAACCTAGGTGTGATGCTGGGAAGCTCTTGGGAGATCGAGCCGTGGGAAGGTCACTGGCTGCCTGATCATGCTCCTATTCCAGCCGTAGGGAAAACTGATTGTGCCAAACCTTGCATTTGGTGTCAATTCTGACAAAATCCAGCAGGCAGAGTTACGAGTGAGAGTGGAAGTGATGGGTGTCTCAACACAGTCAGTTTTTGCTGTGGAGTGATATTACGGTTTTCTGGCCTGGATTTTCTTCCCACTTCTCTAGCACCTGTCTGGAGCTTCCACAGACAGTATGGCTCATCTTCCCCAGCCACTCAGACTGGGAGGCAGGCTGCTGGGGACATTTGGGTCTCTGTGAGAGCCATCATGAGTAAACTTCTCCTAAGCAAGGGGAACTTTCTGTTTCCCTAACTGGCAGTGGTGGAAGAACAAAACTCAAGCAACGTAAGGAGGAGAGCAATGTGAGATTATGATGGAACATCCCTCAGGCAATCTACAGTTCTCC